GGAGTTGTCTGTCAAACATATAGGGAAGCTTGCAATCTTCGTGGAATTCTTGAGAATGATCATTATCTTGATAAAGGTATGACAGAAGCTTCTGTTAGTCCCCTTCTCAACTGAGATTGTTCTGCATAATTCTTCAAGTTTGCAGCCTAACCCCATGAGACTCTGGCAAAAATACAAAGAGGGCATGAGTGAGGTCATCCTCCACAGAGCTCAACGAGAAAATCCAAACCTCGATGTCACCTTTTCTGATGTCATCTTTAACCAGGCCCTCATCCTCCTTGAGGACCAACTTCACTCCATTGGTGAAAAAGACCTCACGTCTATCGGACTGCCAACACCCTACAGGGATAACCTGCATGCCCTTGCTCAAGAGATTCCCCGTGAAATATCCTATGATGGAAAAAGAGCCAAAGCTGATGGATGCACAAAGAGAAGCCTACACGAAAATCTTGGAAGACATTGAGACTAAAAATGCAGGCATATTTTCCCTTGATGCACCTGGTGGTACTGGGAAGACCTTTGTTCTCAACCTGCTCCTCGCTAAGGTTCGCCGGAGGGAGAAAATTTCTCTAGCTGTGGCATCATCGGGGATTGCGGCAACTCTGCTTACTGGAGAAAGAACTGACCATTCCACATGTAAGCTTCCATTTGATCTATCCCGACAAGAAAACCATGTTTGCAATATTTCAAAGGGGACTGCCCTTGCACAAGTCCTGGTTAATTGTGAATTAATAGTGTGGGGTGACTGCACCGTGTCCCACAAGGGAGCATTTGAGGTTGTCAACACAACTTTGCAGGACCTCTGTGACAATTCCAGGATTATGGGTGGTGTAACTTTTCTCATGGCTGGTGACTTCCAACAAACCTTACCTGTTGTACTTCGAGGAACCAAAGCTGATGAGTTAAATGCCTGCATCAAGTCATCATTCCTCTAGAGGCACGTGATGAAACTGAGACTAACTACAACATGCGTGTATATCTCCATGGAGACCAAATGGCAGGCAACCTTGCTGAAGCTCTTCTTGACATTGGAAATGGCAGTATTGTTGCAGACGGCACAGATGGACTTATCACCATGTCTAAAGGCATCCTTTTCACTTCAGAACAGGAACTGGAGGAAAAAGTGTACCCAAACATGCAACAACACTTTCAAGATGTTATCTAGCTATGGGAGAGGGCCATTTTAGCTCCCAAGATATGATGCTGTTCACATAATTAATTCCATGCTGTTGCACAAATAACCTGGAGAGAGCAAGTCCTACAAATCTATTGACTCGGTGTTGGACTATGATCAAATTGTTCACTATTGAGTTGAATTCTTGAATTCTCTGCAGCTCCCCGGTGTTCCTCCACACAACTATCTACTAAAAATTGGGGTACCTGTCTTGCTATTGAGAAACTTGGAGCCACCTAGACTATACAATGGCACAAGGTTAATTGTCAAAGAATTACATTCAAATGTTATCGAAGCTACAATCATTACAGGTAATTAAAAAGGTGAAGACGTCTTTATCCCCATCCAGCTCAGCTTTGCAATGTCTATTAACAAGGCGCAAGGACAATCTTTAAAAGTGGTGGGACTGAATTTGTCAACTCCATGCTTTTCTCATGGCCAACTTTATGTTGGATGCTCTCGTTTAGGCAATGACAAATATTTACATTACTTTGCACCAGCAAGCAAGACCAGAAACATTGTTTACAAAGATGCTCTTTGATAGCGGGTACGGCTCAGCAATAAGTGGCAGTTTCTTTGTTTTGGAGAGGCCCTATTTTGTGTTTCATTACTTTGGAGAGGCTCTTGCTTTGGTTGGGGGCGTGACTCCCCTCCCACGTGTGCTGCTTTACCCCGCGCCTGCTGGGGGGCAGTTCGGCTGTCAGCGGGTGCTCACTGAGCCGCGCCCACACCTCGCTGCCCTGTGCGGACTTCACATCGCTTTCTTCCCGGGTCTCCTGCCTGCACCCGCGCCTGCCGGCCACCATTTCGGCGGCCTGGCTGCTGGCGACTGTTGGTGATGGCGCTCATGCAGCGTGGCTTCCTCGCCGTCCCACATCTCATCGCTCCATCCCCAAGTCGCCTGCCTCCATGCCTGCCACGTGTCATGTCGGCGGTCTGGCTGCCAGCGGTTGTTTGCGGCACCGCCCGCATGCTGTTCTTATTTCGCCATGGCCATGACCTGCCCTACCTCCCTTCTCCCCATTTACCCGATTTATCTAATACAAATTATAGACCGTCTGTGCTTCCTCAAGTGCCTTACTACAGTACTATTAAAAACAACAGTAATAAAGACTACAGTACAAATACTTCCGTCGTTTTATACCATTAACCATTTACTTATGACTCATAGCATTCAATACAAGACAAAGGCATATCATATAAGTTAAGTATGACCTTTACCTTTGATTACAGTGTGCTGATCCTCAAAGGTGCATTAACAATTGTTTGCATTTTGCCTCTTCATTGGTTCTTTACCTAACATGATACTGATTACTGCTGGCCGCTCTCCGGATGACGTGATTGCTAATACTCCAGGGTGATTTCAACAAACTACAACATCAGCTAGTTGCTCTTAAACTAGTCCTAAATACCTCCAAAACCAAGGTGCTATTCTTCTCACCGGGACTAAAGCAGGAAGTTATTTTTCCCAAATTACATTCCTTAAATAATGATCAAATAGAGCAAGTCAAGATCTATAAGTATCTTGGGGTCATCCTGGATTCAAAACTGAATTTTGAAGATCACATTGATTATATTGGTAAAAAGACAAAAATAAAAATTGGTTTTCTGTATCGACACAAGCACTGCTTCCCCCCTATGTTCCGTTTGGAATTGATAAAAGCTACCATACTGCCTCTACTTGATTACTGTGATATCGTGTATAAATCAGCCCCAAGTACTGTACTGAAGAAGCTTGATTCCAATCACTCGGCTTCAAGATTTGCATTGAACTGCCCATATAGGACTCACCACTGTGATCTCTACATTGGGTCAAACTTAACATCTCTTAATGTTCGACGGCGTGTACACCAGATCTTATTTATTCACGATGTACTTACAAAAAAATCCGCAGACTACCTGCTGGATCTCCTCTCTGTTTCAAAGAATAAATTTGACCTCAGGTCTTCGCTCATCTACCAGCTTCACATTCCCTATTGCCGTACAAAAACCGGAGGAAGGGCCTTTGCTATTGATGCCCCCAGGGTCTGGAATGCTATTGCTAATAAACTGCAACTTAAATCACTACCTATGAGATCTTCACTCAAAACTGCTCTAGAGGAGTTGTACACCCCTAGCTGCCACTGCTATTCAGTGGCCTAAAATAAAATAAAATGTTTCGCTCCGGATGACCGCTGCAAATTATTATCTGTATTTTGATTTAGTGTGCTGATCTTAAAGGTGCATTGAAAATGTGATACTCCGACTGATGCTCCTGTTGTTTGTGGAGTGACTCATGCAGCCAGCTGTGGCTCTAGGGTTTGGTGTTACATGTAATTTATGTAGTTTATTGTAAAAACATTCGGTCACAGTTCCTATGATCACTGTTACATTGCATTTATGGCTTTATTTTGGTGATTTCTAAAAGTTTTTTGGTTTGGCCATGTTTTTGTTTATTGTAGTACGGAGTTAGACTGATGGCCTTAATCTAAGTTTTCTTGTTGATGTTGTTGTTTGACTTGCATCCCACTGGGATTTTTGCACACATCGTTGGTGTATGGTGCTATTTTAGGAATATTTAGATGTTTTTTCCTGGATTTTCTGTTTGCACATGCACAAAGTCACTTTAAGATGTTTTCTTGTTCATGTTTTTGTTTTTTTGTTTGTTGCGGTTGCACCCGATTCAAGAGCCGAATGGCTCACAAGGCTATACCAAATAAATGAAACTATGAAACTAAACTATGAAACGTACATAGAAAACGAATCTTCACTGAGTTAGTAAATAGAAAAGTTCAAATGTGTGTGTAAATCGAAGTCTGTGTGTGTAAATCCATGTGTGTGTGTGTAAGTGGATGTGTGTGTGTCAGAGGCTATGTGTGTGTGTGTGTAAGTCGATGTGTGTGTGGGTCGATGTGTGTGAGTCCATGTGTGTGTGTGTTAGTCGATATGTGTGTGTGTAAGTCGATGTGTGTGTGTTAGTCAATGTGTGTGTGTGGCAAAACAACCCCCTACCTCCTCGTGGTGCCGGACGGGCAACGTCGTGGACAGTGCTGTGGGGGGGGGGGGGCAATTCCGATTGGCCTTTCCCCTCAGGGCGTTTGTAACCACCACAGTGGATAAATGGGGGCTCTGGACGGGTGCGCGGAGCTGGTAACCCCTCAACCTTCAATAAATTACCACAAAACCACGTAAAAAATATCTAATTAATAAGCTTGTGCCGGAGGCCCCGAGGGGACAGGCGTCTATGACGTCTCCTGGCCAAACCCCATTTGGGTTTAACCAGGCTGGATTGTGTGAGGAGCTCACAAATCCTTGAAAGATCTGGGCAAAGTCCCATCGGTGAGCTCCTCCGGCAGGCAAGGTTGCGTTGGCTGGGTCATGTAGCCCGCATGCCCAGTCATCGCATGCCTAAACAGCTTTTGTTCGGCCGGATAGAGGGGGATAAACGGGTGCAGCACGGGTTGGAGAAGAGATGGAGTGATGTGGTACAGGAGGATATGGAGCTGAGTGGACTTGCCGATGACTGGTACCAGCGGTATCAAGATCGGCCTATGTGGAGGAGGCTCGTGAAAGACGCCTCTGGGCAGTTGGAGGCAGTCGCCCTCCAACAACAACGGAGGGCGGAGGAGCGACGCTCACAACAACGAGCGGAGCGCCGGGTAGCTAAAGCACAGCAAGTTGGCACAGTAGGGGGCATAGGTGGTGCATCAGCCAGTCTCAGTCAGTCGACCCGTGGCACCTGGGTCTGCCCCGTGACCTCTTGCCAGCGGGCAATCGACACTTAACGTGGCCTCAAGGTACACATAGCCTGCACAAGCGTCGTGGTGATGTCACCGCCACTTAGTGGCGAATGGCGGTTGTTGTGTGTAAGTCGATGTGTTTGTGTGTGTGTCGATGTCTGTATGTGTCTAAGTCGATATGTGTGTGTATGTGTCTTTTTCGCCCGGGCAACGCCGGGTACTTCCCCCTAGTATGAGGTTACATTTCTGACTGACAAGCCCGAACAAGTTCTGCTTGGTAAAACACTCAACATGTGACTTAATCGGTTCTGATACAGGATGCAAGGTTCTGCTGACTCCATTCAGAAAGCTGTATCTCCACAGCATAAGTAAGTTGGAGGCTAAGAAGTCGTTATCCTTTTGCCAGGTCTCTCAGCTGTTGGACAGCCAGGCGACGGTGGTGCATGCCTGTAATCCAGCACTATGGAGGCGAGGTTTGGTGGATCACTGCACAAATGTAGTGAAACTCCCTTCCCGCAGTCAGCGAGGAGGTGCTATTCGCTGGCTCGACCACGAGAATGCAGTACAGCAAAAATGTGGACTCCACCGACTCCATCTGAATTGGATAGTGTTTTCCCCTCGTCACGAATGGGTTTTCTCCATTTTCTCCGGTTTCCTCCCATATGTAAACACGCATTAATTGGTTGATAACACCTTCATACATGGAGAACCACAGAGCTTGGATAATTCTTAGAGCCAGCTCACCGCGTGGCAGCCTTCCTGCTCGTCTGTGGTCCTTCGCCCCTCTGAGTCGTTCTCTCTCTATGAGAGTGAACAAATACTATGTGGTGCGTTACAAGTTGAAATTATTATATGATTACAATAGACAACCTCCATGGTTGGCTATAATAGTATTATCATCAACCTCATCTGGCTTTAGGTGCTTCTCTTGCTTACCATTGTCTGAGCGCCACTTCAATGGATGTGTCCAATACCTCTTGACAATAGCAGACTTGTAATATAATCGGCGATTGTCCAAAAACACGTGTGTGTGTTTTCGCGTCGTACTGCGAGTTGTTCAGCACGATGCCAGAAATTCCGCTCGCATGTGCTGGGAGCTTCTTGAGGAACTGAACTGAAAAGTCCTGGCATCCTCGGTAAACTGAAATAGCAACGAGCAGTGCGGGCTCACTGTGCAGACACGGGCAACGTGGGTGATGTCCACTGCAAACACGGGAGGGCGGCAGCTGCTCACACCTCCACCTCCACGCTGTCGCCCTGGCCGCTTGGCTCGTTGGCCAGATTCACCTTCTCGGTGCGCGTGTGCCACACGAGCACCTGCGGAGAGACGGAGAGAGGATGACGACAGACGCAGAGCAGGTGAACGAGCAGATGGATAGACTGACACGGTGAGTGAGAGTGAATAAAAAAGAACAAATATTACATGGGTAATCTCTCGAGATGGAATATTTAAATGACAAAAGTGTCCTGGGTAACGAGTGACACATACAGTACATAGCCTATACAAATAGCTTGAAATCTCTAACGTAAACAGTCAAAGGCATTCATGCAGTATCAAGAATCAGAAGAAGCAAATTTTTTTTATAGACTTTAACTTCACCGGACAGAGTTTAAGATGTGAACGGGATTAACATTCGGAGGTCCTCTTCTCTTTTGGCGGCAGTACTGAGGCAGCTAATGGTGTAAATTCCACATTCCTATAGCCCATCCATTGGGCACTGTTGAGTTCAAACTGAGTGGTGCAGACTCCCCTAGTGATGCTCATATCAACAACTACGGAGGGGCGATGATTATGGTGATGGCGATGGTGGTGGTGATGGCGATATCGAAGATGATGAAATTGATGATGCCATGGTAAGTTGATGCTAAACGATTGAAAAATTAAGCAGTCCCACCATGAGTTTAAGCCAGGAGACACTTTCTACTTCGACTTGAGTCTTAAAAAGTAACGTATGATGAAAATAAAATCGTGCAAAATTTTTATTACACATATTTAGACAGAGTATTTCAATCCTGGAGGTTGCCACATTGTTTAATAAAGGTGTATATACAGTATAGTACTTCAGATGTATCTTCAATTGCAAACGCCAGTGTCGCTTGCTGATAAAGTCATTGTGTTAGAATGCACATTGACGTTCTGGCCAAATCACCACCTTCAGAGACGCGGCACTTGTTTGTGAAAATTGGCAAGAGAAATTCATTCGCCCAATCCCGAGAGAGAAATTGGAAAACGCAAAATGCGGGGAGGATGAGGGCGACAGAGTGCGGGACCTCACGACCTCGCAGTGCCTCAATAAATGAAGTGATGTGAACCCCCGTGAACCGGTGCAGGCAAACAAAGCTTGCAAGGACACACGCTCAGAGCCCGACGAACCGCAAGGGCACGCACCTCGATTGCATTGCCCCCTCCTCTACAGGCAAACGGCAACAGAGAGCTATTGCTTGCTCACACCACTGATGGCAGAAGGGCCTCCGATACAAGGAGAGCTCCTTGCTTGGGTCATCTTGGCCTACTCTGTCACGCTGGCCAGATGTCTTGGACTAGGTGGTCGTACCCACACTAGACCCGATTAGCACCTCCAATTAGCACGCTTGGCTACATACGTGAGAAAGAAGTTCAACATACATACACCGCACCAAATACGGCTTGCTTTCTGACTAACCATGATCTACGCATTTACACTGTTGGGTGAACACAGAAGGGAGTGGGAAGAGGGTGCGGGTTTAAGACACACCTTGCCCCATTGTTTAAACTGCCGCGCCAGGAAATCGAACTCTGGATCGCAAGTGCAGTGCCCTGACTGTTACACCGTAGCAGTGTGCATATACTTGAAGAGAAGTGTTGTTAAAACATTAATTGATCAAATGTCCCAGTGCAAGACCCCCTGAATAAAATGTTTTGAGACTCAGCGAGGATGTCCGGGATAATAAATGTATATGTAATGTGAGGCACCACGGTGGCGAGATGTTAACTACCTCGCCTGGTGTACAGGGGGTCGTGAGTTCTATCGCGACCCTGATGCCTGTACATTTTAAGTCTGCGTGTTCTCCCCATGGTCGCGTGCATTTTCCTCCGAGTCCAGTTTTTCCATACACATTTACAATACAAACATCCATTTAGAGTATTTGGCTGCTATACATTTCCACATGATAAGCCACTTCTTTGAACTAACATTTGTGGCCAGGTTGTTTCTGAAACAGAGCTATATAGGTACAGTGGGCCTTACCTGGTCAAATTAAAATAGTTGATAGTTTTTATAGTTTATACTGTCCTTCATATTGGTCATTTATTTTCTCACAAGGTAACAGTCACTACATGTGCCATGCAAGCAAGGATGCCACCATATTTGATAATGCGAAGGTTATATAGGTTCAGTGAGCTTTACCTGGTAAAAAAAATAGTTGAAATATGGTCCATGCAGGCTGTTGCTGTGATATTGTTTAGTATGCATTTTTCTCACAGTTTCACTGAATGAAGCAGTGCTGGCAAGGCATTACTTTTGCTTTTAGATGCTTTACAAACCCAACATGTTCCGTGCTTCTTCTTCGGTTCTTTCGGTAAAGTCACGTAGAATGAGAATAAAATAATAAAATAAAATAAGACAATAAAATTCTCACGACGTTTCGGCCACAACACAAGTAGCCTTCTTCAGGTGAAAGAACAGAACTGTCGGGACGACAGAGCTTCAATTAACGCTGCTAAGATTCGCAGCGTCTTTTAAGCTCGGTAAGAGGCGTGGCGAGCCTTGAAAAAGGAGTTCACATATCAAAGCTGGAGAATTTAGCATTTAAAAAACTGAGGGATTAGCTTGTGACAGAAATAGCTGTGTTAAAGTCAAAGTTTACATATCCACACAGGTATTTAGTATATGGACGCTAAAGGCCTCCAATTACCAACTATTATAAAGTAAACCATAGCGTCTTTTAAGCTTGGTGAGAAGCGTGAAGAGCCTTGACAAAGGAGTTTACATATCAGAGCAGGATAATTTAGCATTGAAATAGCCGAGGGATTAGCTTGTGACAGAAATAGCTGTGTTAAAGTCAAAGTTTAAATATCAACAGAGGAATTTAATATATGGACGCTAAAGGCTTCCAATTACCAACTATTATAAAGTAAACCATAGCATCTTTTAAGCTCGGTGAGAAGGGTGAAGAGCCTTGACAAAGGAGTTTACATATCAGAGCAGGAGAATTTAGCATTGAAATAGCCGAGGGATTAGCTTGTGACAGAAATAGCTGTGTTAAAGTCAAAGTTTACATATCAACAGAGGCATTTAGTTTATGGACGCTAAAGGCCTCCAATTACCAACTATTATAAAGTAAACCGATGTGAAAAAAAAAAACTAAGTCTATATCACATCAATATAATAAATGTACTTAATATATTCTTCAATAAGCTGAGCTATTAATCATACAGCAACTGGCTATACATTACACGATATAATGAATACCATATAGTAAACCAATGAAAAACTAAAATATAAGCTCCTCAATGTTGTCAATAAACTCTATATACTCTCCAATCAGCTGAGCAACTAACAATAAGTCGTTATATATGACAATGTTATATGGTGAAAAATGGCGTTTTTTCCCATTCCCTCAATACCAGCACCAAGGACAGCGACATTCAGGCAGACGAGTCAATCCATGCTCGGAAGGGAGGAGGGGGGAGGGAGAAACAGTCACAATGCCAGCGAAAGAGCTGCGGTCTGACGGTCACCGTGAAATACAATTAATTAAGAACCAAAATGGTTAAAACATCTTTCCAAAGGTTACTAAGCCAGAATCCATCTTCTCGTTTGAGATTGTCTCTGTGTTTGTATATGTGGATGGCCTCATGAACGAATCTCTCATGGTAGCCGGTTGGCTTGCAAAGAACCTCCGTCTTGGAGAAGTCAATGTCATGTGAACCCACTGAATTATAACAGTGATCTGCCACGGCAGAGGAGTTCGTTCTACCGTATTTCAAGTCTGCTTTATGTTCGCGGATGCGGTCCGAGATATGTCGTTTGGTTTCCCCAATGTAGTTACTACCACAGAGGCACTTTAGTTTGTAAACGCCCGGGTACTGTATGTCTGGAACAGCATCTTTTACAGATGGAACCAGATCACGGATTTTATGTACTGTGTTGAATCGGACCTGGATCTTGTGTTTATTCAGGATTTTGGAGATCTTTTTAGTAACCCCTGCAATGTAGGGTAAGGTGATGGTTTTGAGTGGCTCCTCAAGAGGATCCTTCTTCATGACTGGAGTGATGGCTTTGCGGATTGTGTAGTTGGAGTAACCATTAGCCCTGAGAGCCTGGTGTGCGTGTTTGAGTTCATTGGCAATGTGTTCCTGGTCGGAAATGCATTGGGCTCTATGGTATAGAGTCTTGATGAGGGAGTTCTTATTGATATGTGAACTCCTTTTTCAAGGCTCGCCACGCCTCTCACCGAGCTTAAAAGATGCTGCGAATCTTAGCAGCGTTAATTGAAGCTCTGTCGTCCCGACAGTTCTGTTCTTTCACCTGAAGAAGGCTACTTGTGTTGTGGCCGAAACGTCGTGAGAATTTTATTGTCTTATTTTATTTTATTATTTTATTCTCATTCTACGTGACTTTACCGAAAGAACCAAATAATATGAATCCTTGCAGTCACGAAAGCTTTAAATCGAAATTTAATGTTCCGTACTTGTTTTAATGCATCTCCCTGCTCATGTGAGCATGTTGCAATTTTCAAGATTCAAGTACATTTTGTTCAATCAGATGAGACCTCGAGAGACAAGGACAGCCTCATTGGACAATCTCGTAAATAGTCATCAGAATACTTCATCTCAATTTCAACAATTGATAGGCTGATGGTGGGTTGGTCATTTCATTTGTTCTTTGACAAGCGGCCATTCGTTATATGTTGGTTAGCAAGATGCTATCTTACCATGAATATTTGTTTGTTTTTTAATCATCAGAAAGGGTTTTATTCGCCATGTAAGTTCACACCGACACGGAATTTACTTTGGCAGGATGGTGCATACATTCAACATATAGGAATCTAAAATCTTAAATAAGTTTTAAACAAGTCTTACTATAATAAGGGTTAAAAGTCTAACACTAAGGGGCTGAAGTATATTCTCGTGTGAGTAGTACATATTGCTCTATTTATAAGACAATCATTTATGTTCTATGCAATACGTGTCCTGACTCTTGCCATGCATACCATGTTTGCTCACTGATTTGTATTGTTTGTGTGTACTTTTAAAAAAATGCACCTGGATTTTTACGTAAATCCTGTAACCTTGTTTGAAACTCTGTTTGCTTTATGGAATAGTAAACACATTTTTTTATTTTACTATATAAATGAATAGCCCAATGACGTGGCTGATCACGTGGAAATTTAGAGCACCCAAAATACTCGAAACGCATGATTCTAATTTTGGAGGGAAAAACCAGAGGACCTGGAGAAAAATCCACATGGCCACGGGGACAATATTAAAACTTCAAATATACAGGCGTCAGGGTAGGGATCGAACTCACGACCCCTGTATATCAGGCGAGGTAGTTAACATCTCGCCACCGTGGCGCCCCTACCCCCCACATCTGCTGTCAACACAGGAATCCGGCATTCAGAGCTTTCTAGCTCAGCGGGACCCTCCTGCAGCAATCAACTCAACTCGACCTCCACTGGTGACACAGAGCACATGGCTGAACTTCTGCACCTTGGTGCAGTTGCGAGCCTTGGGCTCCAGCTCCTGCATGGTGGTGATCTGACGCAGAAAGTCCGACTCCTGCATCCCAGGGCGACCACCCCGGCGCCGAAACTGCACGAAGGGGTTCTCCAGCAGCACCTGCAGATTCACAGCAAAGCCTGCATGCGCACGTGGAGACACACGCGCACATGAATACACAAAGCCAAAGATCCCCCGCATAGCTTTAACAGACTGTTGAGGCAAGTGTTGCTAGCGAGCATATATGAAGGCCGGTACGGCACACGAGGGGTGTGAGTGGCCAGCATCACGCCTGGCCCCCTTTGTCTCCTGAGTGGTGACATTTATGCATTGCACCAAGTATTCATTTGTGGCTGAGTCGAGGCCCAACAGCGGTTCATATAATCGTCGCTGTTGTTGGCCGTGAGTGGGAATTGAACTCGAGTCGCTATGTTCACGATGCAGCGCGCTAACCGCTACACTACCATTACCCCCTGTGGACAGGTGCATACATATGTACATAGATCTACATATCAACTTTAGGCTGTTGGAACAAGTGCTGTTGGCAAGTATCTACTATTAAGGCCAACATAGCATTTGTCTCCCCAGTGCTGATGTTTATATACTGTACCGGGTACTCATTTAAGGCTGAGTAGACCTATGGGAGGCCTAGGGCAGGTTCAGATATTCACAACTAATATTAGCTATTTCCGAGATTTGAACTTAGGTCTCTAAGATTATAGTTTAGTGTGCTAACAACTGCGCTACTGCTCTACTTACAAGAACAAACACTCACATACCCCCTGCTTTTACAAAGCACGAGAGTAAGTTTAACCAGGCTGGGTGGCCTTGTTGACCAGATGAATGTGGAATGTTTACTACTGAATGCCAACTGAAACATTTATTTATTTGAGCAGGGATATATATGTATATAAAATTAGAACTCCTAGATAGAAGTAATATTCATGAATAATTCGTATATTGTAAGGGGGTGTGGTAGTCAGCTCAGTCCTTCAATATTCCTGAGTCAAATAAAATCAATACCGTTTTGCGTGAGGTCAACAGTAGTCACCTTACGGAAAGACTGGCGCCTCAACCACTCCGTAGCATTATCCGTGAAATCCCAAAGCTGGCTCGGAACCACCGCTGAGGATGAGCAAGGGGGACACTGACCACGTGGGACTCACCACCGAAGGAAAATCGATTGGACGTTTGATATTCGTTTGACATTCGCAACAAAAGCACTTTGGCCACACCATTCCAACTGGAAAATGAAGCAAAGTGCTTGTGGAAATGTGTGGCGCCATTTGTTTCACAGTGAATCCTACCAAAAAAATCTGTGAAAACCTATAACAAATACTATAGCATGCTATAACGCAATAATGGCAAAAAAACAAACCATTTAGTCACACAGAGCAATAGGTTTTGCCGCACATTCTCAAAAGTGATTTCCTTCATATTTCAGTTGGAATGGTGTAGCTAAGTGCTTTGGTTTATTGTTATAGCGTTAGAGAGTTATAGGATTTGTTATGGGTTTTCACAGATTTGTCTTAGGATTCACAGTGAAACAAGTCATGCCACACATTTTCAAAAGTGCTTTCTGTCATTGCAGTAGGAAAGTGCTTTGATTGCGAATGTCAAACGAATATCAAACGTGCCGTAACCCTCTACCACAGAACACAGCCAGTAAGGTTAGTCATGTAAACAACGCGCCAGTTACATCATTAGACCTCCTTTGCCGATACCAAAATGTAATAATAGGGTTTTTCCCCTTTTTGTCTGGCAACAAAACTGAAACCTTTTTACGAGGATTCATGTCTGCAATAACCACAATACCTGCAGTCAAAATGCAAACAAAAAACATACTTTTCTAGATTTGAAGCTTTCGTGACTGCAAGGACCCATACTCTTTGGTTCTATTCGGTAAAGTCACGTAGGTAAAAAAAAAAAATCACGACTTTTCGGCCACAACACAAGTGGCCTTCATCAGGTGAAGGGACAAACTGTCCAGCGGACAGCGTTGGAGTGAAGAAAGCCAAGTGCAGGTCGCCTCCTTTTAAGCTGTGAGGGGGTAAACAGAAAACGCCTTGACAAAGGACGTCTCTGACAGAATTCGCGAGCACAAATCAGACTTGAAACACGGCAGGACGAATTCTTCTGCCATAGCTGATCACTGTTACAACGCTGTGGGTGATCATGATATAATTTTCTCCAATACCAAAGTCCTTTGCAAACCGACAGGTTATCATCAGAGATTTATCCACGAGGCGATTCAGATTTACAAACACAGACACAATTTCAACCGAGAAGATGGTTTCAAATTAAGCAATCATTGGAAAGATGTTCTAAATCGAACCAAACATTAAACTAATTTTCAGTGGTGCAGTATATTTATTCAGGTGGTGGCATTCCAAACTCCCAGGGTGGTGTATTATCATATTGTGCTAATTCCAAGCGTTGTCAGTGGTGTGTTTTATGCTAATTTCCTTTGTCAAGGCGTTTTCTGTTTACCCCCTCACAGCTTAAAAGGAGGCGACCTGCGCTTGGCTTTCTTCACTCCAATGCTGTCCGCTGGACAGTTTGTCCCTTCACCTGATGAAGGCCACATGTGTTGTGGCCGAAACGTCGTGATTTTTGTTGTTTTATTTTTTTACCTACGTGACTTTACCGATAGAACCAAAGAGTAAAAAACATACTATGATAATATATGCATTGTCCTTGAAACGGCTTTCTTTTGAGCCTCGACCCAATTGGTGCTCGACCAGATGACGCCAGGTATTGTGGTTAATGCAGACATGAATCCTTGTAAAAAGGTTTCAGTTTTGTTGCCAGAAAAAAGGGGAAAAACCCTATTATAACGCGACAGTTAGTTTCTACTTCAGCCCACCGGTGTGTTGGGAGTAAATCCACAACATTTACAATTTACTCTCCAACACACCGGTGGGCTGAAGTAGTAACTGATTGGCGCGTTGTTTACGTGACAAATCTTACTGGCTGTATCAGGTGGTGGAGGGTTACGACACATTTATATTTACACAATCTAACCCAAAAACCTTTATTATGAATATTGGTCGCGAAAGCCTATGCGTAAAACCGAATATGAAACGTCCGACCGATTTTACTTTGGTGGACTCACCGGCCATGTCGGTGGCAAAGGGCCGGTCTGGCCGCCAGCCCGTGTACCAGGCGACCACACGTCCCGCTCGCACCACGGGCCGCTCGTACCGCCGCCCACCCACCAGACCCACCGGCCACACGGACACCTTGCGCGTGTCCCGCATCTGCACGACGACGGACAGGGCGAAAGTGCCGTCAATTCCGGGCGCAAACCTCCAATGACCGCGGTTTGGCTACGTACACGGTGCGAACGAAGCTCAGCATGCATACTGGGCATACAAACACCTCGGCGATTCAGCAGCATGCAACCCAAGTGATCAGTGGCGTACATCAGTTGCATGCAACCCAAGTTGGACGTTTGCATAAAACTCATGCATGCTGCAACTGAACCCTTACGCGTGGATCCAGGTCTAGCGAGTGTCTGCTATGGTCACCATTGCACGCTGAACGAGGAGGTGGTTGAGGCCAGGGTTGTAGGTTGATGTTGACCAGATCTTTCCTGGTGCTCATTTTTAGGCCGAGTGGACTACTGTTATTTTGCATTGCGTGACCATGAGAGGCAGTGAACAGCTTGTTGAGCCCTTCGTCTAGCGGTTGATAGATCATGGCCGATAATGGTGGTGGGACGGCGGTTGAGTCGATCATTCCTTTGAGGTCAATAAATGAGTACTGTTTTGTGGAAAATTTCCATGGATAGACTTGTCCCCACCATAGGAATGTGTAATTTCCACGAGTGGCTCCGGGCCGCTAACTGGTATGAGCATCGCTGTACTGCTCATTTGAGCATGTAGACTCTTTGATCTTTGAAATTAAAATGCATTACAACCAAATTCGCATGTCTTGTATTATCTGCAATGTTACTCTTGAACAATTAGTGGAAACTGACATGCGGATGAATGGGAGCTCGTACAGTGAGGGAAAAAAGTATTTGATCCCCTGCTGATTTTGTACGTTTGCCCACTGAAAAAGAAATGACCAGTCTATAATTTTAATGGTAGGTTCATTTGAACAGTGAAAGACAGAATAACAACAACAAAATCCAGAAAAAACACATGTCAAATATGTTATAAATTGATTTGCATTTTAATGAGGGAAATAAGTATTTGACCCCCTCTCAATCAGAAAGATTTCTGGCTCCCAGGTGTCTTTTATACTGGTAACGAGCTGAGATTAGGAGCACACTCTTAAAGGGAGTGCTCCTAATCTCAGCGTGTTACCTGTATAAAAGACACCTGTCCACAGAATCAATCAATCAGATTCCAAACTCTACATCATGGCCAAGACCAAAGAGCTCTCCAAGGATGTCAGGGACAAGATTGTAGACCTACACAAGGCTGAAATGGGCTACAAGACCATTGCCAAGCAGCTTGGTGAGAAGGTGACAACAGTTGGTGCGATTATTCGCAAATGGAAGAAACACAAAAGAACTGCCAATCTCCCTCGGCTTGGGGCTCCATGCAAGATCTCACCTCGTGGAGTTGCAATGATCATGAGAACGGTGAGGAATCAGCCCAGAACTACACGGGAGGATATTGTCAATGATCTCAAGGCAGCTGGGACCATAGTCACCAAGAAAACAATTGGTAACACACTACGCCGTGAAGGACTGAAATCCTGCAGCGCCCGCAAGGTCCTCCTGCTCAAGAAAGCACATATACATGCCCGTCTCTTGTTTGCCAATGAACATCTGAATGATTCGGAATGATTCAGAGGGTGAAAGTGTTGTGGTCAGATGAGACCAAAATGGAGCTTTTTGGCATCAACTCAACTCGCCTTGTTTGGAGGAGGAGGAATGCTGCCTATGACCCCAAGAACACCATCCCCACCGTCAAACATGGAGGTGGAAACATTATGCTTTGGGGGTGTTTTTCTGCTAACGGGACAGGACAACTTCACCGCATCAAAGGGACGATGGACGGGGCCATGTACCGTCAAATCTTGGGTGAGAACCTCCTTCCCTCAGCCAGGGCATTGAAAATGGGTCGTGGATGGGTATTCCAGCACGACAATGACCCAAAACACACGGCCAAGGCAACAAAGGAGTGGCTCAAGAATAAGCACATTAAGGTCCTGGAGTGGCCTAGCCAGTCTCCAGACCTTAATCCCATAAAAAATACGTGGAAGGAGCTGAAGGTTCGAGTTGCCAAACGTCAGCCTCGAAACCTTAATGACTTGGAGAAGATATGCAAAGAGGAGTCGGACAAAATCCCTCCTGAGATGTGTGCAAACCTGGTGCCAACTACAAGAAACGTCTGACTTCTGTGATTGCCAACAAGGGGTTTGCCACCAAGTACTAAGTCATGTTTTTCAGAGGGGTCAAATACTTATTTCCCTCATTAAAATGCAAATCAATTTATAACATTTTTGACATGCGTTTTTCTGGATTTTGTTGATGTTATTCTGTCTCTCACTGTTCAAATAAACCTACCATCAAAATTATAGACTGATCATTTCTTTGTCAGTGGGCAAACGTACAAAATCAGCAGGGGATCAAATATTTTTTCCCTCACTGTATTAACATATCTATAAGATCGTTGTTGGTTTGCTACGATTACATTAACAGGGTCCCTGTGCTTATTTTTGGCTTGCAACAGATGCTGCTCTGCATTCCCTCGGTGCTCAGTGTTAATTATTTGACCAAACTCCAAAGGCGCCATTGGAGGTTACAGCTGCAGCATTGTCATTAGCATGTGGTGACACACATGGGAAATGCAAATACAATGAGACAGCAACACTGCCATTTCAAGTTGGCAATTTAAAATAAGTGCGTTCGTTTGTGTCCCTGTATTTCCTATATTCGCCTGCGTCTAGTGGTAATTGTATGGTCACCAATTTCCCGTGCAAGTCACAGTTTCGAACAACACGTAGACGTGCAAAAGCACACAACCGCTATGCTCTATGCAACAACCATCAGTATTTTCTGAAGAGGTGCATTGTGGTCCTCTTTCCTTAGGCCACCGTCACAATGAATGCGAGCAAGCAAACCGTGTCAGTATTCCGCGCCAAACTGGGGGCGGTCGCTCTCATTCCGAAACTCTCGCCGCGTTGCAGCAGCTCGTGCGAGGGAGCGTGTTGTATAAAACGTGCGTTGTTGAGAGGAACTCGTTTTGAAAACATTCAGGACGTTAAATCAAACGCGACGAGAAAACGGCTTCGTTTTAGATGAAGACTGCCAGAACAGCTTCCTAAAGCTATGTGGTCTGACAGTGATTGTATATCAGTGTGGACAGCCGAATTATTGCACTATTATTATTTGACTAGATCTCCTATGCTGGTCATCTCAATGAGTGAGAATTTCCCAACACTAGTTCAGGGCTGTACGGAGATGAACACTGATCCAATGGGTATGGAACTCTTTCACTCGATCTCTATCTGTAATGTTGGCATCCACAAGAACGCGCCCTTGGACGTGAGCACGGGACAATTTCCTCGAGCTGACCAGCAGGTGGCAGGAAGCGGACACCGTAAGATGAGACGCAGTTTAACGGCACGGTCCCTGTGTGTATTTAAATAAAACAAGAACACATTTCACGACTCAAACAAACGTGGGGGTGGTGCCCATCCGCACTGGCGATGTTCAGTCAGTAGCGGAAATTCCACGTTCCTATGATGCACCGGGCTGGAGATGTCCTCCGTTGTGTGTTACGAAGGGGAGAGAAATTGGACAGGAGGCCCCATTTAATTAATTTCACCGGGGCGAATACCAAACACGCTCCACCACTGATGCAATAAAGTACACATTTGTGGGATGACACCAGTGTTTTTTTTTACTTACCATGGAAATATGGAATTTCCATCATATGTTTGAGGCCACCAACGAAGATAAGTGCCATCACACACTCGTTTGACAATCCCCAATCCCGTCAGCACAACAATTAAAACAATTGTTTAGAAATACCGCTGGCAAGTAATTGATCATGGCTCAAGTTCTAATTGGCACGGGCGGCGTGTCTAAATTTAGCTGGATGATTTAAACCCCAATGTAAACTCTCTTTATATTTTTAAAGCATTTGTCTCCCGAGATGCAGGCAGATTAATCTGATGCCTTGAAGAGGAGGATGAGTCGTGAAGACATCAATTGATTTCGGGTGGCATCAAATTAATTGCCAAATAGAATTTATGCATGTACAGGGTGGCCCAAAAGTCAGAACACATCGGTTATTTCATATATTTATTTTAACACATGATCAAACTGAATTTCATGAACATTAATGAATGCATTAATTGAAGCAATTGGCGGGACCCCGGGGTCCCATCACTGCCCCGGGGTGGGAAAAACCGCGTAGCGACACGAGTCTCGCCTTACCGACAACAAAACTAGTGTCAATCGATTGGCCTCGTCGAGAGCTACTCGGGGCACTAAGTTTCGTAAAAAGTTGAAAAATTACATAAACACGTTAAATTCACTGCGGGGGCGGGCTCGCCTTGGCAAAGAAGCTGAGGATCGACGGCTGACCGGAGGGCGTTGTCGCCGCACGCGACTGCGGCGGACGCCCGGGCTTGCGTTTGGCCGGTGGGGTGGCGCCCATCGTGTTGATCGCCGCCTGCTGGCGCTTGTTGGCGCGAGTCTGGGCGGGCGGCGCGTTGCTGTCGGGATCACGAGTGGGCGGACTGAAAAATAATAATTATTGATCTGATTTTTGCGGGACCCCGGGGTCCCGCCAAATGATTATCTGTTGAAATTAATTGTATTTTTAAAAGTGCAGCTGCTTTCTTTAGCGTACATAAAATCGAATTGAACTCGTTCGTCTTTCGTCAATTTTCTTCCCATTTTTTTTTATGTCATCTATGATAACAGATTAATTATTAGCTGAAATAAAAAAAACAATTAAATGTTTTAATGTCGGTGTTCCAAGTAAAATTAAATAACCCTATGTGTTCTGACTTGTGGGCCACCACAAGTGTGTGGGGAGCGGTGGCACAGCAGTGAATGCATGACGTCACAATCTTGTCAAACTAGGCTTGACGCGTGGGGAGGTGAGGTAGCGTGGTTGGCATGGGCCCTGGTGCAAGAAATGAACCGGGATCCCCTTCCCGTCGTCGTTGTCCACCCCACTCCCCACTGCGTAGGGCAGTGCTTGGGCCCCTGTGCCTGGACAAGGCCCATGCCCACCCTTGTGTGCATCGCTCTGCCATCATAGAGACGACGCAGGTTTTATTTCTGACCACGATGCACAACACAGCAGTAAATTACGTCTGCACTCGTCCTGGGATTTACCCTAGATCGAATCAGCCTCAAATGAGTATCCGGTGCAGTGTGTGAACACATCGACGCTGGGGTGGCAAAGGTGGTGGTGGGGTGCGACGCTGGCGTATTGACTGCGACGGGGGTGGGCGGGGGGTGGGGAAGAACGCCCGGTTGTGCCGAGGCCGTAAGTGGACATCCCAGAGAGCTGGAGCCAACCGCGACCGCCGTCCGGATCAAACGAAAGCGGGAGCGGCAGCGGCGTCGAGACGAGGCGGCGTCGATGGCACGGGCCACGACGACGACGACCTCTCTCGACCTCCGCGACCTCACCTCGTGGAAGAGCTCCAGGCTGTAGGTGTTGTCGTCGTCGGCGAAGTAGACGACGGCGGGGAGGGGCCCGCGCGCCCCCTCGCCCCGCAGCCAGCGCAGCGCCTCGTTGCGCTGCTCGCTGGCGCGGGGTAGCCCGGTGCGGCGGTAGCGGCGCGGCGTGACGGCGCACAGGTGCGTGGCGCCGGGCACGCCGGAGCGGGCGAGCAGGGCGCGCACCATGGGCGAACGCGACGGCGCGTCCTCCACGAGCACCCAGTGCAGCCACGGCACCTGCCGTCGCGCGCCCGAAATTTAAACGCGCGGCTGTCGTCACGTTCTGGGCGCATCGCACGCACGGTTATCTGGACTCATCTGGGCGAATGAACAGAGTGGATGGATACCGCCGTGGTGTGAACGGTCAGGGTACCGCACTTGCAATCCAGAGTGTCGCCATATCGATTCCATCTACAGTATCACCGTGCTAGTTGAAGCAGTAGGGTATGACATTTTTTTTGTGTAATCGCTCATTGTCGTAATTGTGCAATCAGCCATGTAAGTTGTCTGACGTTTGGCTGTAATTTCTCTTTCTTACCCCAGTTTGCCCATGAAAAATGAATATCTTCACCGCGACTCACTTATTTTGTTATCTAATGCTCTTGCTATGACATGCAGCTGTGGTGTAGTTATTAGCACAGAGGACTGGCAAATCCAGAGGTCGTCAGTTCAACTCAATCTCAATGACGCGGCAGTTGAAACTCCGGGCGAGTTTCTCAAATAACCCCACACTTGTCCACCTCGCAGTATAGAATTCTCCACCACAGTCGATCGGTAGGTCGTGCGTGGTGGGGTAAAGCGTGGGTGCTCCCACTTCTTCCAAGACGGTCTGGCCAGCGTGAAAGTGTAGGCCGAATACCCGCTCTCTTAAGATCCCCGTAGTCAAGGCCTTTCTGCCAAGAGCGGTGTAAGTAATCGCAGGGCTGCACAATTACATTTTTGATCTTTAGACAAGTGAACCAAATAGTAAATTTAAAAAAAGATCAACATTGAGGTGGCCACGTGGGCGGGTGCGTAATGTGTCAGAGGACCCTGCTGGCAATGTTGGGATCCTGTGAAGGCACTTGGATCTGTAACGTAACTTCCGTGCTCTCCACAATGCACGCGACGTGTGCGTCTACATATAAAAAAAGGATCTACAGAATGAGTTTATCATTTCACATATAAAACAGAATTCTCAACGAGCGAGGTTATGGATGATAGGCCAAGTCAACCCTGACCGGTATTTGACCCGTCCACTCGCTAGGCGTTTGCTCTGAGCGCAGCGCCACCACACGCGGCACATTTAAAGTGGTCAGGGCACGGATTAATGTTCTCGTGGAAAAGTAGCAGAGGCTACGAATTTTAATTGCAAATGGCATTTGCATCATCTTCCGCTCCAGTCTCAATTACTGAATTAGCAGTGAACACACGGAGATGTCGGGGTGGCATTAATTCAGAGACCCCCCGTGACCCCTCGCCCCACGCAGTCCGGGTGAAAGGTATTCCCAGCAGCAGCTTTGAATTGCAGGAGGTTGTAACCCCCTCGTGGGATGAGACATTTGCAGCTCAAAGATCACACCTTGATTTCCCAGTGTAGTGACGTGAGATAAAGATGGAATACCTAATATAGACAATGCAAAAAATTATTTCAATTTGTTTGGGTTGACTGTGATTTGTTGTTTCACTCTGTTTTGCTAACCTTGTAGAAGAGGTACAGTGGAGTGCATAATGGCCACGTCAGAGCAATCGTATGTAATCCCTTAACGCAGGATATTTTTAATCCTGGGGTGACCACGGTTGACATCCCACAACACGGATCTCATTTTATTAACCTCTGCACTCTGATGTATTATTTAATGTAAAGTGTGATTGTCTCATTGATTTCGTTGTTCAAAAGTATTTCTGAAAAGGCCGACTCTTTTGATGCAATCAATTTGCCAGGTGATGCACGCCTGTAATCCCGCGACTTGGGTAGGGTTGGTGGATCACAAAGAGACTGAGTGAGATAGCCACCGACACTGCAATGAAATATAAACTGAATTCAACCTTTCCTATAAAAGGCAGTATAACAAGTAGGCTGCTAACAGAGTGTCTCATAAAATATCTGTTGGCCAAACAATTGTTTTGTTTGACCATACATCACCACGCTGGTCAGTGGGTGGAGGGAGTGCAGGACCGATTCAGATATTACTGACCACTGATGCTCGCTGTGGCCAGGAATCAAACTCAGGTTGCCAGGTCCGGAGTGCGGTGCACTCACCACTACAACACTATGTCAAGAAAACGACGATTTATTTTAAACGTGTTTTATCTGTAAAAGCTTTGTTGACACAGCCTCGAAGTGTTGAAGGCTAAAAAGTGGCCAAGCCTAAAGTAGGTACATCTTCCCTTGTGACAAAAGAATTCATTCATACTCTCTGTCACACACACACACAAAGACAGAGATCCCCTGTGTAGCCTTAACAGAATATTTGGGCAAGTGCTGTGAGCGAGCACTTATGAAGGCCGGCACGGCACATGAGAGGGTGGATGACCAAGACAACTTCCGGCCGCATTTGTATCCCCAGTGCCAATACACTTTGGTTCTTTCTGTAAAGTCACGTAGGTATAAAATAAAATAAATTAAATCACGACGTTTCGACTGCAACACAAGCAACACAAGCAAGCATCACCTGATGATGATTGCTTGTGTTGCAGTCGAAACGTCGTGATTTAATTTATTTTATACCTACGTGACTTTACCGAAAGAACCAAAGAGTATGGATCCCTGCAGTCACGAAAACTTCAAACCCAGTGCCAATGTTTTACATCGCCAGCTACTCATTTGAGGCTGAGTCGACCTAGGTGAGGCCCGTGACGGATTAAAATATTTCTTACTGTAATTGGTTATGATCGGGAATTGAACTCGGGCAGCACAGCGTGCTAACCGCTACACTACTGCTCCCCACACACTCACACGTATACTATCTGTAAATATATTATGGACGTATCTGATTTTAAAAGTGGAATAATGAATTTTAAATTGCCTCTCGGGAAAGGGGTTTATATGGCAATGCTTCAGGCGACAGGCATTTATCCGCTGAGTATCTTTCATTTGGATTTCACATTTTGCTACAGGAGCTGTGAAAGTGACATACGCAAGATGATTCTGTAACTAGGTCAATAGAACAGACAACTTGTATGTATTATTATAATTCACGTCCAAGAGCCAATGTTGCCAAATCCTTGAGATTATATTGTAGAGAAAAACAATAGATTCTCAAGCATTAAGTGCAAACTCTGAGCCCCAATGATCCAAAGCAACAGCTCATCGTATCTTCATTCCTCCAAGCCGAGTAATGTATAAAATACATACAGTACCGTGATGTACAATTACTTATCGCTGAGGCTCAATACTCTAATTTCAACATGCTCCTGCTTATGATGTTTCGCAACATCCTCATTCAGTTTGTACACGTTGAAGGAAATGGGAATGCCTGGAGAAAACCCACGCATACGAGAGGAAAACACTCAAACATTCCACCCTGTTTGGTCCATAACCAAAGTAACGTTCTGACCTGCCTCCACTGGGCACCTGTGAAAAGAGCTTCATAGCTCATCGGATTCCTCCATGATAAATACTGATTCTGGAATAGATGTACAGGTAGCCCTGGATTTACGAACGTTCGGTTTACGAAATTTGGCGTGAAAGCAATTGATAATTACGAACACTTTTTGATTTGCGAAATCTAAATTCCACATTAATGAAATTTCACTCTGGCACGGGCCATGCATCAGCCACAGCGTCACGGTGTCCCGACAGTACAACGGCAACGCCTCCACGTCACCTCCTCAGTCATTCCAAAATGCAGGGGATGTTTTGGTGAGTTCCCAGAAAAGGTTAATAATTTGTTTTGTAATTAATTGTTATTCAATCGTACTAATTATTTGTTAACATTTTTTGTATCGTCAAAAAGCGATATAGGTCAATATTTTTACATTATAGGAGTAGGAAACACATCCATAATTTTTAGTCATAAACGAATGAGAAAAGGCATTCCAATTTACGACATGTCGTTTCACGCGTGTGTTTTTGGAAGAACGCATCCCTTTCGTAAATCGAGGGTCACCTGCACTGCATCTTATTGCCCTGCAGGTTGGAGAGTCTCACATGCTACACATTACAGTGATAATGGGATGCACACTCTGGTGGGGTGGTTTTATTTAAATTGACAGCCCCCCCTTGCCAATCCACTGCTGGATAACGGCCTCCCCACGCTGTGTTGGGTCATGGCGAATTGTTTAAGCATACTTCACCATGTTGATGCTTAACTCTTACGTCTGGGGTATTATACTGGATTAACCAGAACGAAATGGGGAACGAGATACACGTGAGCAAAGCGGATTCTCCTCTGCTTAAACTAAACTTTTTATTTCACCAGATAAGGCCCACTGAGCTATACAGCTTTTTTTCAGAAGCGATTTGGTCACATGTGATAGCTCAAAGAAGTGGCTTATCGCGTGGAAATTTAAAGCAGCCAAATACTTGAAACGCATGACATTGATTTTAAATGTGGAGGGAAAGACCCGACGACCCAGAGAAAAATCCACGCGACCACGATGGGAGACGAAAACTCCAAATATTCAGCAGCACGCGTCAGGGTCGGGAACAAACCCACGACCTTCTGCATACCAGGCGAGGGAGTTAACATCATATCCTAGCCACCATGGCGCCACCCAAAACCACAGGAATTGATGGCGATCTGCGACTCGCGGTGGTCCCAATCACGGTCCTTGCTGCCGTTTGCAGCATTTCCCCTTTCCATCTGAGCTTTGCTCCAGAGGTGTAAAGTACCCACACATGACGCCCACCACGCGCGACCTCCACCCATCGACCAACTGCGGCATACCCCATTCATACTATAGCTGGGTGGACCGAGGGAAGGGGAAGAGAGATTCAATCGCCTTAACAAACTTGGCAATTGCTTCAACTGCCGTGCGGGTAAATCGAATAGAACCGGCTCGCTAATCCAGACCGCTCACCATTACACCCCAGCGGCAGGAGCAGCCTCCCAAACGCTGTCGTGTGTGCCGGTGTGAGCTGCGGTAGTTTAGTAGCGATTAGCGCGCTGCGCTACGAACCCGGCCACCTGAGTTCGATTCCCTGCTCACACCCAGCACCAGTGACGATTATCTGAACCGGTACTGGGCCTCCCCTATGTCGACTCAGCCTCAAATAAGTACCTGGTGCGATGAGTAAACATCGTCACTGGGAAGACAAAGGCAGTCGGGCGTGGTGCTGGCCGCCCACCCCCTCGTGTGCCAGCCTTCATAGGTGCTCGCCCGCAGCACTTGCCCCAATAGTTGAGGCTATATACGGGGGATCTTTGTCTTAGTGTGTCCATAGACAAGCGAGTGAGTGACAGCAGGGCAGCGAGGTTCACCTGTCTGAACGTGTTCGCAAGCCTCGTGAGCTCCGCCTTCTGAGCCGGCCGTGCGTACGTGGGCGTCACCACGTAGATCACTGCTGCAGGTGTCCCTTGAGCTGCCGCTGATACTAACACTGCCGCAGCTGCAGCGTGAATGGGAAGAGGAGGAGGTGCAGGAGGAGGAGGGGGAGGCGGCTGCGGCACCGATAGAGGTCGAAGCCTCCAAGCTGCTGCTGCTGCTCGTGCCGGCACTGCTCCTGCCACCGCCGCTGCTGCTGCGGGCCGTGCGAGAGGTGACGGTGCGTGCGGCCGCAGCTTCTGCAGCTGTAGGTGCCGCTGCTGCTGCTGCAATATCCTCTCAGTCGGCGAGGACGTGGACGTTCTGGGTCCGGCTCGGTTCAAATTGAAGTCGGCCACGAGCAGAGCGACCAGGAGCCAGGGGAAAGCGGCGAGGAGGCGGCTGATCCTGTAGGACCTCATGATGAGACCGCCGGCAACAGTAACACGACCACCACCTGCTGCTTATGTTGCTGCATGGGCTGGAGATCACACAGAGGTGGAGGCTGGGGTTGAGCTGGGCTGGTGGGCATGGCACACGGAAGAGGATACTGTAGCCCAAGTGCACCTCCGTCACGCCCATTCATTAATTCACTCTGCCACCCTACCATCCAATCGTTCATTCATCGTCGCCTCCATTCATCCACAGTGTAGATTAATTGATGTATCCGTCCAATTCATTCATCAGCCAAGTTCTCCGGACGCCTTTGTCTCCGGTTTTTGTTTTGCGAAGCGACGTCATGCGGACGATTCAGCCACGACCCGTGTATGAATGAACTCTGGGACTAGGCTCACAATGCTACCGACAGTTCATACGCCGCGCCGTGGTGCCGAGAGAAGCCGCGCGTACGCGTGGGCGTGCGCACGCACGCACATACACGCCACTATTGTAACGCTCCCATCTGCGCCTACTCCTGCCACGGTGCGTGCGGTAGGTGGAGCTGTGTGACTGGAGTCCCCTTGCAAATGCATCGAGCGCGAGAGACCTCGTAAATTTATATGATAAGGAAGGGGAGGCGACGGGTGGGGGAGTGGGGCGGGGAGTGTCATAAGCAGGGGTACACGCGCACACACCCCTCTCTAGCCCCCACCACCACCCCTCCCCCGAGAGCAGGACACTCAGAACACCCCCGTGTGTGGCTGTTCCAAATGATAATACATCACTTTTATACGGCGCCTTTCGTTGGGAAAGCACTCCGAGCTGCCTTGCAATCACCCGGTGCTCAGCTCCCCTTCCTCGCTGCACTGAACTTCGAGTCGTAATGGAGGGGGGGGGGGGCGCAGTGGTTGGCGCACTAAACATTTGAATCCGTCTGAGTTTGACTCCCGGCGATGCCCAACAACTCCGCGTCGAGTGATGTCTAAACTGACCCTGGTTCCAATCCACACTCCTGGCGGACGTGAAGTATACAGTGCAGACAACGAGCTGTGAATTATCAACAGTACAACGCCTTTAGCACGTACGAGGCTTTGGCGACCAATATTGGGGGGATTAGATCGTGTAAATATAAATGTGTCGTTTAACCTGCCAACACCTGACATAGCCAATTAGTAAGGCTTGTCACGTAATCAAAACGTGTCAATTAGTTACTAGTTCAGCAAACCGATGTGTTGGAGAGTATACCCACAACATGTAGAATTGTAAATGTTGTGGATTTGTTTACGTGATTAATCTTACTAATTGTCTGTGTCGGGTGGTGGCGGGTTCAACGACACATTTATATTTAGAGCGATCTAACCTGGAGTTCAACCACTGCCCAAACACCCTGTTATCGTGACCTGCAATCCTATTAACGTCAGGTATGTAACCACGACGTATCACTGACCTTCAAGACTCATTTCAGGAAGGTCAGGCATTCCATAAGACAACCATTATTTACTTGAACAAATTAATCCCGTACTCTCTTTTTTAATCCACATCAGATGGACGATTGGCTGAGTCAGCCCCTGAACCGGATTTGAATTCGAATACAGTACGTACCATTGTGGGTCATGTGCCCTTAGCCACTTGTGACCCAGATACCCTACATGTATCTGATCTCGTCGCATCTCGGAAGCAGCTTAGCACGGTTGAGTCTGGTTGGTGCTTGGTTTGGTGCGACTTTCCGTGGCCGGGTGTTGTATGCGTAGGGCTGTGAAGTGGCCAAGAGAGAGCAGTGCGGCGTGATGAGCCGTCATATGCTTTGGTTTTCTCAGAGTTCACTGATTCCCCCCCCCCCCCCCACAAGAGACCGAAGACAAATGAATGAAGTTACCCAAACATCGAGATTGAGATTCCCTCTGAAATAGAGTCCTGGGACTCGGCGATGCTTTCCCGGGTAAAATAATCAGTCTCTTTTTTGTATTCTATTTGCAGTGCTACCCAGGCGATTACAGTGTTAACATGATTCCGTTAATCTTCGCACGGCGGCGCGAACCATGGTAACTCCAAACAGATGTGCAGCGGCGCGCCTCTGTGAATAGGAGAGGGCAGGAGCACTCCTCTTCGAGGAGCAAAATAATCTAAACACAAATGCAGCGGCCCACCGGAGAGATAAGGAGCAGTGTTTGGCTTGAGAGACAGCCAGATGTGATCCCCCGTAATATTATGTCTGACCCGACGACTGCCCCCCAACCCCCACAGCTAAATGGAATTCCCAGGGCGAGCCATTCCGTCAATAAGACACGTGCAGTGGCTGCGCGGCATTGGGATAAATCAATGCAATTCAAGGGGTCTTTATTTAACCAGTTCAGGACCTATCGAGCCTCTCTGGCTTTCAGTTTTTTTTTTACAAAGGTAGACAGGACATCTGCTCAAACATGAAATTTCGCTCAGTCGTGCAGTTGCAACCTTTATTTTACCATAACGGTAAAGGTGCAGCCCTGCAATTACTTACCCAAGGCACTGCTGGCAGAAGGGCCCTCCGCGAGAGGGAGCTCTCGAGAGCCCCCTCGAGAGGGTATTTGGCCTCCTCTTCCACACTGAGCAGACACATTTGTTTAATGTACTCCACTACACCCGACCTGGCAATTGACGAACTGCGGTGTACACACAATATGACACCACGGCAGCATCACGCGCGTGCTATACTTAATGGTAATTAAATGCTGTGGATTGTTGGTCACATTTGCCTTGTCCTCATTTCACAACACAGGCAGCGGAGTAAACAAATACATTCTCATTAGTCCAATATCTAAGGCTCTGGCGTGCCATTATGGCGTGCTATTACGTCTCCAGCCTGTGTACTTTCTGTTGACTACAAATAACATCTTTGAAAAGGTTCGGATGAAAAGGCTCCCCATTAACAGCCGCCACCGCGCTGAGCTAACGGCAATTTAGGGGGCAGTGCATTTTGGGCTGTGAACGGCACCGGCGACACGAACACAACCGCCTTAATTTGACGAACGCGTTCACAGACAAATCTTTCCCATTGTATCTGTCACTGCGCTGCCGCCTTCCAACTGCAGCATTTCCTATTCAATATGCAACTTGTATATCAATACGCGTCACGTACGGTGTGTTGCCTTTGTAAGCAACAACAATAAAAAATTTTAATCATTTACAGCCCTTTGTATATCCACTACTGGATGAAGATAAACCCACTTCATGTCATCACGGAGGTAGGTGGTGGAACATTCTTCACCATACTCGGTTGTGTGTACTGGTGAAGGGGGTAGACCATGGACAGGACTCACACTCAGGTTACTGGCTTCCAAACTCGATCCCCTTACCAAGGTGCCACCGCTCCACCCCGTTATCTGATACCATATTTGATTAATGGGATTTGAGATATTTTGCAACTGTTGTGCTTTTTTGGCCACGCCTATTTTAAGTATTCCAGGGTTATCGTTAAAAAAGACAGAGTGTGCATATAGAGATGGTACCTGGTTTTTAATATAGATGTGTGTCACCGTCTTTATTTCAGGGTGGCAAACAACCTCTCACAATCAAGTGGCTTCCTATTATCAATAAACATTTGGCTTTCAGGAAGGAATTGGACATTGTCAATACAATACAATACACAAAGCTGCTGTGTATTTCTTGGATGGCGAGACTCAGACGATCCACGATTCGTCCCCTTGCCAATCCGACGGCCCTGTGACGGGTTCCTGAATTGTAGGCGTCGCTGTGGTCGTCGTTTCAGCTCCGTGCATTTGCCGACTCCGTGGAAAACCTGTCCATTTGTCGTGTCCACAACCGTGAATCAAACCTGATAGCTCCAATGGAGCCGCAAGCATATCCACATCCTCCCCCAGACCATTCAGTTGTAACGTGCGGATTGGGCCGCATTGGTCAATGCAGCAGACACTGCGACTCTGAGTAATGCGGGGTGCAAATTGCTCTGCCGAAACTTGTTTGGGAAAATATCACAATTTAGGAAATGGCCACGCTTTTACATTCGGATAAAAGCCTCTTCGCGGGTACAAAATAAAATGATTTCTCAGAATTACGCACTGCTTAGACAGTTCTAAACACAATTTGCATTCGCCAAGAGATCATTTACGATTCGCATTCTGTCCCATTGCGGATTAAAGTTCAAATGTTTCCTAACGTCCAACTTTAATTACACACGAAGTGATGCTGTAAGTGAATCTACAACATCACGGCTATTTGTCCATTCATCTACAACGTGGATTTCATCGCCCGGCGTCAGTCTGGGGGGCAATCTTCATGTTTGCTCGCGATGCCCACGTCTCCGTGTCTGTTTTGATCGTTTTAAAGATCGTGCCCCCCCCCCCCGCCATCTCTCTCTATCGATGTTGACTCTTGCTTGCCACAGCACCGCACCATGCCCATCCACACAAGCCAATATTTGTTACCACGTCATCATTTTACAAACTTTGTTTCATAAATGAATTTGACACTGAATAAAATTATAGCTAACATGTTAGGCAATGGCACTGCTTTCTAAGCAGTGAGAACAGATAGGCTATAGAGGGTAGCAATTAGATAGAATGAAAAGGCGTTTTAAAAAAAGGTCAGTGTCTTTATTCTCAAATGTGAGTTGAGGTGGTACTGATCTCAGCGGATATGCATGAGTCTATGGTGGGCATTCCACGTTACTATGGCAGTGGCGAAGTAGAAAATAAAAAAAACAAAGCAAGACTTATTTTTTAACTGCTGGAGAAATGCGAGGCTAACAGTTGTGAGCACGTCTTAACAAAGACAACGATCACCCGTATAGCCATAACAGACTGTTGGGGCAAGTGCTGTTAGCGAGCACCTGTGAAGGCAGGTGCAGCACACGCCCGGCCAGGTACTCATTTGAGGCTCATTCGACCTAGGGGAGGCCCAGGACCGGTTCAGATAATTGTCACCGATGTTAGCCGTGAGCGGGAATCGAACTCTTGTCGCCGGGTTCGCAACGCAGCGCGCGAACCACGACACTACCGCTCCCTACACACACACACACACGGAGGCAGACACGCACAATGCAAACGGACGCACGCATTAAAACAAAACATGCCGATGCTGTGGCAGGTATAATCTTGACAGTAAATCTATGGGCTATGATTATCCAGCATGCTGTGTGCAGGGGAAGGACGTGTTTAGAATTTATCTTCGTTAGGCTGCGTTGCGTGATCGCTCAACAGTGCAGCTGCGCGGTGATTCCTGCTCACGCTGTGTTTGTGTTGCTGTCAATGCTGTGTGTCTGCGGTAGTGCAGCGGTGAGCGCACTGTGTTACGAATCCGGCCACCCGAGTTCGATTCTCGCTCACGACCAACACCTAGTGACGATTATCTGAATCGGTCCCGGGCCTCCCCTAGGTCGACTCAGCCTCAAATGAGTACCTGGTACGGTGTGTAAACATCGCTACGAAGGAGACAAAGGCGGCCGGGCGTAGTATTGGCCACCCACCCCCTCGTGTGTCGTACCAGCCTAAATAGGTGCGCGCTAAAGCACTTGCCTCAACAGCCTGTTATGGCTATATAGGGGATCTTTGTTTTTGCTCTGTGTCGATACAGGGGGAGCCACCTGCTGAATTACCAACAAATCACGCATTAATTTCCGCTAATTGCAATTCGTAATAATTGTTTGGCAACGTTGGAAGAAAAATGCTGTAATTTTAATTCTGTAATTGCACTAGGGAATTGAATAGAATATTTCTAGACTAATTTTCTAGTACAATTCTACATTTCCATAATAATAAAATGGGCAAACTATCAGGGATAATAAAAAAAACATTTGCAATTCTGTTTCGTTTGCTGGCTTTAAGACTGAGCGTGTTTTCTCCAAACACCTCAAGCCACGGCTCTGTGTTGATTAATCCCCTTCCGTGCCGTGCAGATGAGAATATAATGTGGCAAGAAAGTCATGTCGGTGTATGGGGCACGTGGGCAGGGTGGTGGGGAGCAGGCAACCCGATACAGGCACCAGAGTGGCACCTAAGGGTCGGAAGACCTAA